CCTCCCACAACAGGGTCCCAGAGGTTTGGACTAGAAAACACTGATCTAGCATGTGCATTATACTGGCTGAGATAGGCTCTAGCGCCTTTATGGCTGGAAAATGAATGGACGGGTGAGTGGAAAATGCTGTCAGCTCCTATTGCAATGTATTCAACCTACGATGCTCTTTGATTGGTAAGAGTGGAGGTCATTTTGGACATTATACAGGAATCGGAATGGAATTTAAATATGGCTGTGCTCAGCACTTCACAAGATAGGTGGGAATAATCAGAGCAGCTGCCCGGTGCACTGACAATGACCTTCAGCTCAACGCATCAATCAAACAAGCAGTCAATGCACCACTGAACACACCAAAAGTGTCATGTTGGACCCCTCACATCATGTTTCAGCTGCTTCCCTCAGGCACATGACTATCACATGACTAAATCACCAACCGCCAGAAAATCACCCTTCAGGAACAGCTTCTTAGCCAGTGCCATTAGACTCCTTAACAATTTCCCCTGCTTTTAATCAACAACAATGTAACATTGGCACCATTTCAACTTTTACTTTTTCATCAGCATACAGCAGACCCCTAACAACTGCACATCGCACGTGCTGTTTATCTACCAAGTACAATGTCACCTGACTGGCAACTCCGGCTCTACAATGTATAGGTGTATGTCTGTTTGTTCCTATGTCACTCTCCAGCATTACATTATTTAAACTTGCCCAAAGCTCTGTATTTATTACTTACCTTGTACAGTATCCTTGGGTGACTTGAAAGGTGCCTTATAAATAAAATGTATTATTATTATTACTATTACCTTGCATTTATGTCTCTCTGTTACGTGTCTTGTATTTACTCTTTGTACACATTATGCTAAATTGTTAATTGTCTATTGCCATGGTGTAGACACTGTAGGTGTCTGTGCCAACACATATCTCCACCGGCCTTAGTCCTACGGCAATAAAGATTCTGATTCTGAAAATCCAGAGTAACGTGACGACTGAGGTGGTGTGGAGATCAAGTTAAAATCTTCCCGTCTGACAAACAGACAGACAGACAGACAGACTTTTCCTAATGACATTTCTGTATTATCCATTGATTTGTTTGTTTGTTTGTTTAATAATTGAGAAATAAAGCAAATAAAAGATTAAAGTCGTACACAAACATATATTTCTGCGTACTTCGCATTAAAGAAGACTTTAAACATTGCAACACAACAGATAAAGTCCAGCTCTCTAAATGTTCTTAAATCCGTCTGCTTTGTTCACCAACATTTCAGGTTCTACTAATCATAATGACATTCTAGATCAGTTCATTTGCTCTTGTTACCCAACAGCAATACCGGCTCTGTCAGCCCTAAATCATCTACTTATTACCTGGCATTTCACATTAGGGATTATAAATGTGTATTTATCTTCTGTGCATCCTGAGACAGTTGTAATCAGGTCCTTACTCAGGGGGCCTGATATGAATTCATATAATCCATCTCTCTTATGTCCAGCCTGGCTCATCTGAAGCCCTCAATTTTATTAAAAATATTAGGAGGATATCTTCAGCTTTTTGTCTTCTTATCATTCAATCATGTCTATTTTCATGTCTTATTTTTTAAATTATCTATCTATCTATCTGTCTATCTGTCTGTCTGTCTGTCTGTCTGTCAGATGGTCATTGATTTAAATCCCGTGGCTGGCAGAGTGATGTCAATCATGTCTATTTTCTGTTTGAATGATCTATCTATCTATCTATCTATCTATCTATCTATCTATCTATCTATCTATCTATCTATCTATCTATCAATCTATATGTCTGTCTGTCTGTCTGTCTGTCAGATGGTCATTGATTTAAATCCCGTGGCTGGCAGAGTGATGTCAATCATGTCTATTTTCTGTTTGAATAAATGATCTATCTATCTATCTATCTATCTATCTATCTATCTATCTATCTATATATATGTCTGTCTGTCTGTCTGTCTGTCAGATAGTCATTGATTTAAATCCCGTGTCTGGCAGAGTGATGTCACTGTTGGGCCAATGAGCAAGGCCCTTAACCCCCCACTGCTCCGGGCACAATGTCTGTCCTGCTCTCTGATCCTTACTTGTATGTCACATCGAACAAAAGCATGTGCTAAATGAATGAATGTAATCTTCACATATCTTGTTGAAATACCCCGGAGTCAGGAAGGGGCTCTTGGGCCTGCTGTTCTCACATTCTGCCCCTGGGGATGTTATTCAAGCATGCTTATGCTTATGATGTCCATGCTAGCGAGACACAACCCTGTTTATCTGTCAAACCAAATGAAATACTGAAGGAGGGGAAAATATAGGATTTTCGCTGAACTCCTGCAATACAGCAGTCACTGGCTGTCATGCTTCAGTCTGAATTGTTTCAGCTGACGCAATAACACTCTAAGCATTCATTATGGCAGCTGGATGAATGTATGATGTTTTATTTTCCATTTGTACAAGTGTGAGTACTGATGCATTGGATACTGGTCCATGGAATGTTTCTTTTCACATATCCCATCATACTGTCTTTTTAGTATTTTTTTGTTTATTTATCTGTTTGTTTGTTTATTCATTCATTCAATTGTTTGTTTATTTATTTTGGAGCGGGGAATCTTACCCCAAGGCAGAACAGCAATTTCACTACTCCATCAAGCACATTCAAACTGGCAACATTCCAGTCACCAGCACAATGCCACAGACCCCCCCCCCCCCCCCATACGTGATATCACATTAGTATATTTCAGGAGTACTTGACTGCCTTTTTTGTAGGAGTGAGGGGGTCATTTTCAGTTTTCTAATTTTTGTTTTTTTATTAATATGAATAATATCAATATTTGAAAGTTCTGTCAAGCAGTATTTAAGTGTTCTGTCTGCTAAAATCTGAAAATATATAAAATCTGAATTTGGAACAAAAAGATCTTATGAGAAATTCCCAAAATGTTCCTTTAATCCTGTTTCGTACTGTGCGTTAAACTTGACGTAGGATGACATCCTTGCCACTAGGCGGCAGACTGCATTGTAAAACACCTCTGTCAACCTATTTTCTAAAACTGTGCATGTGCAGAATGTAGTAATATTTTTACAAATAGTGAAAAAATCTAAAATCTATGCATCTGTGATGCAATAAAGAAGTTATTTCAGTTACCCCACTGTCAGTTGTTCACTTGCACACAGTAACATAACTGATTAGCTGAAATAAAACAAATTAAAAGTCCCCCCCAAATCATAATACTGAGATTATTATGCTTTGTCCTTCATATATGCTTTTATACGAGCGAGTACATGATCGATTCAATGTCCAGATACATAATCTGTTGTAAAAATATTAAATAAATAACCTGTAAGTAGTCCAAGCTAAAAATACATTTAATTGATATTATTCACAGCGGGAGTTTTTTTTTAGAGCAAAGGCCGACTTATAATTTTAAGGCAATTGTTTTAACATTATTTCTATTTTTAGTGGAGTGGGAGTTAGAAATGGAACAGCCTAATTAGGAATATTTCAGCAGAGACTTATTGATTTGATCTGGTCCTAGTTTATATTACAATATAAAGGCCAACTATGGGGAATCTCGAATATACGGTTACTCTATTCAGATTGTTTGCCCTAAGGACTAAAAACTAAACATACAGCTTAAATTGGGGGGTGGGGGAGGGGTGGTATCCAAAATGTTTTCCAGAGAGCCTATCATCCTCAAATACCTATTAACGTAAAACTCACCTTTCAATGAATTACAACATGGATTACTAAACCAAAGCAGTCCTGTTGGCCTATAGATCAAACGGAAGTCTGGTATTATGCATTAAGTGCACACCAGAGAGCTTTTGAATTGTTTCCAAATGGCAGCCACGTTATAATTTCACATTATAGCTGAATTTTTTTTTTTTTTAAATGACAAAACTCCTCCCAAGGAAGTCCAATCTCCGCCCGTGACTTTCCTCGTGTAACTTTTTTATGATCATGTGACGTGTCTCACGTTGAACTATTTAAAATAATTAATATACGCGATTTGCATATTTACATTCCAGCTCCGAAGCTGCAGTTTAATATGACGTCACCAATTACTGGAAACTATCTGCTTTAATGCATCGGCATTGCTTAAACAAACCTTTCGTTTTATTTTTTATTGTTAGTGAGTATGTCATGAAAATAAATCATATCATTGTTCCAGTTTTACTTCTCCCTATCCCACGCTGCCAGACCATAAATTCTGTTTCATGGATCTTTTTGTTGGGTTCCACTTCTCTTATCAGTGGTTTCCTTGTCATAATGGACCTTGTTGTAGAACAATAAGATGTGGTTGCCAGTATGTGTTGCTTTTCACAAAGATTTTACATACACATATTTAGGGTTGCCAACTCTCACGCATCTGGCGTGACACTCACGTTTTCAGACTCTCACGCAAGAAATCCTACGGCAAATTTATATTATTCCATTACAAACCTAAAATTAACTACATCAAAAACGTTGGGGTAGTTTGCAAACGCTACAGACTATTTACAAGGTAATAAAACTCTTACATATATGTAAATCCGTGTGCATACTTGAAAATATCACTCCAACCAGCTAACCGAAGCTGGCAACTGATTTAATCTATTCCAGACTAATTTGACTTTTTGCGACAGTTGTGTAAATATATCCATCTCCTTTGCACCAGCCCAACAGACTTATTATTTTAGGAATGCAAACTGTTTTTGTTGTTCTTTTGTTTGTTTGTTTGTTTGTTTGTTTTGTTTTGTTTTGACCAAACCTCCAGCGAGATATGTAGGACATTTTCAAGTTTAAACTATGTTGCGATGCTATTTTTAAGTCGCCGCTCAGCTATGGGGTAGAGTAGACGCTTCGGTGCAGCCAATCACAAGTAAGTCCGCTCCAGCCTGGGGTGTGGGTCCTCCAGCCATTGTCCTTGTGAGGGATCGGGGATCTCAGCGGAATGGGAGTTCATCTGTCATCTCTATAAACTGCAGGACTCCGCTGACATGGAGGGAGTTACTGAGGGTGGGAGGGAGGGAGGGAGAACAAGAGAACGGAATAAAGAGAGAGAAGCAGCGCGAACAGATGTAGACAGAAAAGTGAGTTGTATTGACAAGGTGGCAAAAAGACGGAGGTGGGGAAATTAGGGGAGCGAGTGTCCAATCTGACAGTTCCTCAGCCTTCATCCTCACTTTGCGAAGCCGCGTCACGACGTCTGAGAAAGTGGGGCAACATCAAGACCCGCGGCTTACCGAGGGAGGGGGGCCGTCGCAGACCTCCCACCGCCCAGCGCCTCGCCTCTTCATCTCCATCGGGGGAGGAACAGGGACCGGGAGTCGTCCGGAACGAATCTTATGCTCATCTTCCTCAAACGGCATTGCTGAGCACCTGTCCCGGATGGCTGACAACATGATTGAAGATTCTGATCACTACACTGAAAAGGATGATGTGCAGTGGGGGTACGAGGAAGGTAAGAAATGCAGCGGTCGTGAAATATCAGAGCTCCATTCTTTCTCCTACTTGTAACCCGAGAACTTCTTAGCGTAACAGGCTTTCAGGATTAAAATTTCCGCTCTTTCATTTTTGTTTTGAAATTTTGTCCGTTTTCTATTGTCACCCGATACTTAATATTGTCAGTCAGTACTTACTACTTAATCTTGCCTCTTGTACTGTCAGGTGCTTTCAACAAAGATCAAAGCATCTTCTGCAATTTTATAGACCGTGGATTTAAAGGTTTTATTCTACGTGTGCAGAGTGCAGTGAAAGTCCGGCTTGCATGATGACCCACAGACTCATAACATTTACCTAGAACAATAAATAAGTAATAATGAGTGCAGTCCAGTAGTATGTGCAATATTACAACGTAAGTGTAAACTGTTGAGTGACAGCTGAAATAGAAAACTACGGGAGTTTAATTATACAGAGTAATAATATTAGTATTTTTAGCAAGCCCTGCATGTCCTTCTAAACCATAAGAAAATTGTATTAAAATTTTATATTTGAAACTTTGCATTTTATTTTCTGTCAGACTGGTAGGCTATTTAAGAAATATCGAAGCAGTATTTTTTCTAAATGGTTAAAGTCTTCTATCCAAATAAATTACGTGAAATTTTTAGGCCTACATTTTTATTTCCAAAGCAAAGCACTTTGGGATTTATCACATTTTTATAACTATATGTTCAAAATTGACATCTTACTGTGAGTCGTGAACCGTTCAATGGAAGCACTTTGTTATCCAGACATCTGGTTGGTGTTCGTCCTATCAAACGTAAATTACTGCCTGTGAATGTGAATATGGCGCTGGCCCTGAGCGGTGACACACGGGTCAGGGATGGAAACGCATCGTATAAGTTTTACCGAACGTGAATCAGCTGTGTGCATGACTGCAAGAGTCCGTCTGCAGTTAAGAAACATAAAAATAGACAAAATAAATAAATCCATATATACATTTTGTGTAACCGCGGGGGGTCCGGAGCCTATCACGGTGGGTACGGACGCAAGGCAGAAACAACCCAGGATGGGGGGCAAAATAAATACACGAATGAACAAACGAAGCCAGAGATACAGTTTTATTGATTTCCATCGCACACGGTTGCTCTACACTTGCATGGCTATGGATTTGATTGCGTGTCTGCATTGTGTTCTAACTGTGCAAGCATTTGTTATAATTGGATTAACATGCATGGTCATCCACGTGAATAATGATCATGTTAAAAAAATCCATGTGTTTTGTGAGTTAAGCTATTCTTCTATTTGCCCTCTATCCTTGTGACTGGCCTAGAATAAGTCGAATTTTTTTCATACAAATATTTTATGGTTATGTTAAACATCCAATACCAAGATTACTGGGGAGAAATGGATGAATGGATAGATGAGAGAGATTGTGTTTAGAATCTTCTGGAAGAGCTTAAGACTTAATGTTTTGAGGAAAAACTTCCAAAGGGCTAGCTTTTCTTAAAAAAAAAACATATATAAATTTTACTCTTCGCCAATACTCAGCCGTGAATCCCCATAATTTATATCTCGAGACATGATTTTCCTCATAATGAAAGCAAATTTTATCGACACTAACATTGGATGTTATGTATTCAGGGGAGTAACTATCCACCTGAATGTCTAGACACTACAACGCACTTTAAAATGCATTTTAAATGTAAATTAGGTGAAAGCTTCCATCAAGAAAATAAAAATCTCACGAGTGTAGGTGCTGACCAGGGGATTTGTATTACTTTATTGCCTCATACTATCTGCAAGATTTATGTCTTTATAATCACATTATTCTCTTAAACAAATAAAAAAGACCTATGAGAAATTTCTGACTATAAAATAATATCAACAACCCTCAGTCATATATTACGTACAAAATAGCAGCGGGACGTATTTGCATCTCCCGTAAAATCGAATGTTCCTGCTATCCAAGGATGCTGTCATAGCAGACGGTACATCCATGTGGGGAAGGCAGGCAATTCGAACAGCCTCTGGCTGCTAGCTAACCGGGTCAGACTTGTCCAAGGTCACTCAGCCTCCCTCCACCACCTACAAATGACAGTTGACCAGATTTTCATGCCGCTAATGATTCAACATGAACAAATCTACTTCCCTCAAACGTCGGAAAGGCTCAGTTCTCTAAATGTATTTATCCTGGACGCATGGTGATACGTCTGTTCAGACTATTTAAGTGAGAAATAGCTCTAATTTATCTTTGCTGGAAGCGCCTCAGGAGATGATTGATGAAAACGAACAGGCATGGCTCCAGCTGGTAAACAAACCTGACTGAAAAATAGTGATGTATGGGTATAAGTTCGGAAAAGCAATACTTTACGGTTAACCAGCTCAGTTCATGATTCACTGACTGGCCTGTGCGTCGAAGCTCACTGGTGAGGGGAGACACAGTTCTGGCCCTTGCAAGCCTCCGTGAACCTGAGAGCGGGCAGAGGAAACATTATGGTCAGAGGGGTGGCAGCATTGCAATCCAGCTCAGGCGTTCAATGACAGGAATGTCTGGCATTTTCCCCTCAGCTCAGGTTTATTCTTACGTGTGGGAAGGAAATGTATGTATTCATTTAGCAGATGCTATTATCCAAAGCAACACACAATTGAAACAGCAGGATCAGCTGGTTTCTGGACCAATTGGGGGTGAAGAGTCTTGTTCAAGGGCCAAATCACTCTGCCAGGTAAAGGACTTGAACCAATGACCTTCTGGTGACTTGCATAGCAGCTGAACCCAGCGAGCCACACACCATCCCAATGAACCGTTCTGCTGTTTGTCTTCTAGGCGTCGAGTGGGGCCTCCTCTTTCCGGAAGCCAATGGTGAGTGTCAGTCACCCATCAACCTGAACTCCCGGGAGGCGCGTTACGACCCCTCCCTCCTGGAGAGGCGACTCTCGCACAACTACGTGGTGTGCCGCGACTGCGAGGTCATCAACGACGGGCACACCGTGCGCATCTTGCTGAGGTCCAAGTCAGGTAAAGCTGGCGACTCCTTAACCCATAAACGCCTCGTGATTGGGTGAGCTGATCCTTTAGATAACTGGTCTGGTCTTAGGAGACGGAGATGCCCCCAAGGGCGTACTCCAGCCTTGTGCTGCCTGAGATAGGATCCAGACCCACTGTGACCTAGCCCAGTGATTCTTAGTTGGTTTAGCCTCAGGACCCACATTGTTCCTTGGTCAGTAAGTCATGACCCAAATTCACTATAAAAGTTGTTGACCAGGGCATGATGAAATATTTTGTTAAGCATACCTCCCCTGAAAATCATCTCACCACTGGGACCCACCAGTTTAGAAACACTGACCTAGGCCAGGAAAACTGAATAGAAGATGGATGGATGGTTGGATTGTTCAAGGCAGCCCATCCAGATGTGTTCCAGCCTGGTGATCAGCCCTACTTGAAATGGGCTTCAGGCCCCTCCCACAACTCTGACCAGGCTAATTGATGAGTGGATGGATGGATGGATGGATTGTTGGGGTACTGGGAATGGGTGACAGCTTAGTCAGGATGGCAGCATGTGCAAACCCAAGAACAAGGAATTCTGCGTAGATACCGAAACATTTGACTTGAAATGCCTAGTTACCATTTGCAGCGGTTCGCTTATGACAGAGTTATATCTTATCCATCCTGTTTCTGGCTTATTCTACTTTTGTGAGAAAGCTGCCTGAGAGGCCTTTAACTTGTGCCATTTAAAGGGAGGCCTATGGTGCATGAAAATGAATTATGAAAATACATAAAAGATCATTCTAAACGAGATTTTATTGAGAGATTTACAGTAGACAGCAGGAAATGAAAAACACTGATAAATCCATAAATCAGATAAAGTTGATTCTCTGAAGTACTCATGTGGATTTATATGTACCACTGTAAAAATGACAGCTTATGTTGCGAATATACTTATAGTGATTTATTGATCACATGATAATTGCTGGGGGGGGGTTGGGGGGTGCTGACTTTTGCATGATACATATGTGGTTGGATTCTGCGGGTTCAGGACCTGATAGCCCAAACCAGAAGTCGACTGGCGGATTGATAGAAGAGAATCTTTTTGTCCTCAACATATCAACTGCCACTGATGCCATTTATAAAGTAAATGTTCTAATTCCAAGCCATCCTGGCTGAACAAACGAGGCAGTAAGTTGGTTTTTGGGTCGGCTAGTATGAGTCTAGTTGGCACAGTCAACACAACCACATTCAGTCCCAGAGCCGGGGAGGGAATGTGATGTCGATTTGGGAATTAGGGTCCTTTATGGGGCCAACGTGGATCGAATTAGGATGGGCCTGAAGGCATAGGAGAGGCATCATGGGAAAATTATCATTTTGGTGCATCGGCAGAGACAGGAAGATGTCTACAAGCTGTGAATCTCAAAGAGATGCTCTAGAAATTCAGTGCAGGCTACCAGCTTCCATATAAAAATACAACGGAATTATATTCAAAATCTCGGATTAACAGAGGCGTATGCAGGGGTGGGGCCACGGGGGCGCTAACTGAGAGCTGATTGGCCCCTGGAGTGCCCCTTCTCCTGTCACTCACTGATTCAAAACATATCATTGGCTATTGTTACGATTGGCCCCTCTGCATGAATTATGGCCCCTCTTATGCCCCCCATCTTAACGAAACCCTAGAATCGCCCCTGATTAACTAGTATCCCCTAGTGCCCCCTACTGGCTGCTTCACGCTGATCTTCCCGCTTTCAGTGGTGACTGGAGGGCCGCTGACTAGTGAGCACGAGTACGAGCTGCACGAGGTGCGATTTCACTGGGGAAAGGAGAACCAGCGAGGCTCCGAGCACACCGTCAACTTCAAGGCCTTCCCCATGGAGGTGAGCCTCACGCCGCTCAAGCAGAGCCGGATCGCTGGCATCATCACCACTGTCATCCCCAGGCTCTCAGCCACACTCCATAGCCGTCAGAGGCAGATCCTTCTCCTGCTCCAAAGAGGCTCAGTGTAGGCTTCAGTTCGCCCACCATTCAAATTACACATTTAAGTGGGACCCCCTGTTGGCCAAAATCAGTCACTACACCCGAGAGGCAGATACCCAAAGATGACTACAGATGACTTTAAATGTGAGAGGAGATGGTGCTTCAGTCATCTCTTATCTCAAGATATAATTTACAGCAGTGGTCTCAAGGTCCAGTTCAACAGAACGTTTTATCCAGCTCTTAATATATTTTCAGTTCATTATTAAATCTGGCCTGCAGATCAATCTTTGGCTTTCTACAAAGAACAAAAAAAACGACGTAGCATCAGTCTGCTAATCAACACTGATGGAGCCCCCCCCACCCCCTACCTTGGCAATCTCCACCACCCCCTCATGCGGCTGATTAGTGGACTGGTGTCGCTACATATTTTTTATTCTCTCTCATTTGACTTTCAGCACTAAAATATTGCCCAAGCGCCCCGCTTAGGAGAAGCCATCCTAGCCAGCAGCCTTCATTTTGGTGTTTTGGCCTAAAGTAACAAAATAATGTTTATGTATCTGTTTGGTTTTTACTGAAGGTAACATTTTGGAAGGTTTCACAAAAAGAAAAACGGTCTTAAGCAATTCCGAATTACTTTAAATACAAGCCAGCTGAGTATTAAGGTGTATTTTTTTTTAACAAACAACCAGTGATCAGTCAAAGGCAAATAAAACTACAGCATTTTTAATACAGTGCTGTATGAAAGTCTTAAGCCGTCAAAGGAAATGCTTAAAGCTGTTTACCTTGGTAACAAACAACCCTCTCTTTCTGCAACACAACATCCTGCTGTTCCTTTAGCATGATTCACAGTGCATCTGATACCATGTTAGTACCAAAAGCCAGCCTGTGAGATATCAGATGAATTAGAGCAGCTGGGTATCATAAGTAGGCTTGGTTATTTGGGGTGGGGGGTGGTGTTGAGGGTGCAATCCGATAACCTGTCTCCAGCAGGTGTACTGGGACACAATAGGGCCCTTGAACCCGGCCCAGCTGCTGACGGTGCTGGTGAAAGCAGGTGCCACCTGAAGCGCGTGTGTACCGAAGGCGGCCTTGGGGCCCGATGCTTTGTTTGCCGTTTGTGGAGAGGGCAGGAACAGCGTGATCCGTAATGCTCCACGCCGTCCGCAATGTAAACAGCCACATAAATAAACTATGAATAACGACAGCGGCTGCGTGCTGGTGCCCCCTTGCTGTAGCGGACCTTGTATAAAGACTTTAAGATCTATGATGTGATTTTAACGTTTATTTATATTATTTAACGTTTTTTTTTTTTTACGGAGGATGCTGTCTGTTTACGCAAAAAGTATATTTTTTGGCACATGCAAAATTAACCTGATACTTTACAATGGAGAAACAGTTAACGTAGTCATTTTTAAACTTTGACCGATTACCAAGAAATATCCTGCTTTATATCTGCCACAATATTTACACCTGCAATATTTAATTTGGCTTCATGCATCCCCCGAATGAACAGACCTTTGTATTTAAATTATTTAAAAATTTTGCCACCAGTATCAAACTCTCCCCTACGCCGTTGCCTGTCTCTATGAATTCCTAACATTTTTCCTCTTCAATTGAAAAGTTCAAAAGATTTGTGATATGAATAACCCGCAGAAAAATTAATAATAAATGAATAAGCACGCTTAACAAAGCTGTTTATTTGGAGTCTGCCGCCTTCTTAGCTTGCACACCAAGAATTCCCGGTGGCCCAGTGACCCAGAACTCCTTCATTTCTGCGGCCACAGCTGGAAATGGATTCGTCTGTCTTTTTTCTGCAGCTGCACCTGATTCACTGGAACAGCAAACTGTTCAACAGCGTTGAAGAGGCTCTGGGGAAGAAGAACGGCATCCTGATAATCGCTCTCTTCGTACAGGTAGTGCCACAAATCCCGTTCAGCTCATATCATACGCCTGGAAAGAAACCACTGCCCTGCAAACACAAGGTGTCCGAGCAGAAGCCTCAATAAAAACTACTGATTTGGCTTAGAAGAAAACAAAAATTCTATGGAAATAGAATTTACATAAAGTCTATGTAATTTGTCTCTTTAACTTACCAGATCTATTTTCAAAACACGTAATCCAGATGCAATTTGTTAATATGAGCCCTATAAGAACTGAGAATATTATAATTAAATAGGGACTGGTATAACGGGGTAGTGCGTGGCTTTGTGTTTTAGGCCTGTGCTTGTGATCAGAAGGTTGTTAGTTCAGAACCCATGGCTTGGCAGAGTGATGCTGTTCTTAGGCCCTTGAGCCCAGCATTTAACTTCCAGGTGTGATGGACACTGGCATGATGGCATAGGCAAAAAGGCAGCTTAATATTACTATTAGATGTAAAAGGAACCTTCTTTGGTGTGATTATGGGTATGGATCACATGACCGTTAACTTTTATTATTTTTGCAGACCATGTGACTTTCCTGACTGTTGGTTTGTTTGTTTTTCCCGCAGATCGGAAAGGAGCACCTGGGGCTGAAGGCCATCACCGAGGTCCTGCAAGACCTACAGTACAAGGTGACTTTGTTTGTGTTACCATTCATATGTCGCTAAGGCAAATACCCAGGACGTGTGATGGGGGATGCTGCCATGGCAACCCGAGAATCTGCACCACATTTTAGTGGATGGATGCAGAGAGCGAGATTTCCGTGTGAATATTTGCGGTGTCACCCTTGAGGGTTTACCTGAGGACTGCAGGTGCTATCAAATTGCACCTTTCTTAGGTTCCCCCGCTTGCTAATGCAAAGAGTCGACTCCCACAAATAAAGAATCATGCAGCTGCTACTGAATCCAGGATACCGACGGGATGAGGGGGCTCGACTAAGCATGGAGTGGCTGAGACGCCAGAAGTGGTATTAAATATGGTGTGACTGTTGGCGTTAAGCGTAGTGATTCCAGTATTGGGGCCAGAATATAATATTCGCCCTTGACATCTCCAGGACAGGCTTGTAATCTTATTAGAAGACTGTTATAAACCTTCTGATCATTCTAAAAAGTGTATAGCAAAGTGAATTGACCTCTTATGATGTTATATTAACCCTGAATGGTAAGACAGGAATAAACCTGCAAATATTAAGTGTGTTCTGTAGTCCTGTCTGGACTTTCAGAACTACAAAACACACACACACCTTATGTAATGAGGTCATCATTATGGTACAGACAGACCTTCTAACAAAGCCTGGTGTTCTGATAACAACTGATATACAGCACTGTATAGATGGTAACGTTCTACAGAGAGTAACAGCACACTGGAATTATGATCAGACTGAAGACTGAATTGGCCTTGGTTAGTAGTTGCCTGGATGCTTCTTTCATGTTTGATTTCTGAAGTATTTCCAAACCTTCTGGATTGCAAGAGAGAAATATTTTTAAGAAGTATCTTATTTTACAATTTATTGGTATTTATAACCATTTAATTTCTTTCCTTTCACCAGGGGAAGACAAAAATAATCCCGTGCTTCAATCCCAACACGTTGCTCCCTGGTAAGTAATCCCTTGGACACCAAAATAGAAACACAAAAACAAAAACAATAAAAGTACGTGTGGGATGCGGATGTGAGGCTGTTCTGCAAGGATTTCATCAGGATTAAGACCAGACCAAGAACCAATAAAAAACACCAATTCGCACATCAAAAAGGAATAAGGGGCAGGTAGAACAAACCAACAACCTGTTCAACCTAACCCTATATCCTGCCACTGGCCTTAACCCCGCCCCCCGAACAGAACTGATTGGATGTGACCACCGGCTGAACTCGTTCTGATTGGCTGCTGTATGTCGGTCTGCAGATCCCCTTTTGCGGGACTACTGGGTGTATGAGGGCTCGCTTACGATGCCCCCCTGCAGCGAGCATGTCACCTGGATCCTGTACCGGTACCCATTGACTGTCTCACAGATCCAGGTATGAGCCACGCCACTGACCCTGTGTGTGTGTGGGGGGGGGGTTATTGGGTTATTAAGCCGTCAGTCTGGGAGAGGCCTCCCCTTTCAACTGCCTGTGTTCAAGAAGCCGCTTTGAAGTCAACGCCGCCCCCCTCCCTCTGTAACATGAGCTATTCCCCTCCACCCCTTAACATCCATTTGAAGTAGCTTATTGGCAAAGCCTCCAATCGTGATCAGTCAAAGGCAAATAAAACGAAAGTATTTTTAATACTGTGCTGTATGAAAGTCTTAAGCCGTCAAAGGAAATGCTTAAAGCTGTTTATCTTGGTAGTCAAAGTGTATATTTGCTCCGGGAAAAAAACTGTCGTTTTGCAGAATTTATCATTAGAATATATGAACCTGAACAGTAACCCATTAAAAAGTAACAAGAGTTTCTTCTGTTCTCCAAAAAGTCACTGATATCTCGCTGGATGGCTAGATGAACACCGCTTCAGTTCCCAAACCTCTCCTCGGGGGCACATCGGCCATTCCATGTATTTGGTGAATTTCACCATCAACCCAACAACTGTGGGCTTGTGTCCATGACCAAGGCAGTGGGCAGTGAAGGCAGTGGGCAGTGAAGGCAGTGGGCAGTGAAGGCAGTGGGCAGTGAAGGCAGTGGGCAGTGGTAGCCTAATGGTTATGGAAGCATGCTTGTGACCAAATTGCTGGTTTGAATCCATGAGCAGGACTGTACCACTGGGATGCCCTGAATATGGTACTGCTGTCTGGGTGCTAAATGCTGTAATAGTTGCCCACTACAGTAAAATCCAGTTATAATGGACGTCAAGGGACCTAGCAAAACAGTCCGTTATATCCAGAGTTGTGTGCCCAGAAAACAACTACAGGACCCCATTTACTCATGCCACACCCCAGCAGACACACTTGTGGTATAGATTATTATATTGTACATGTAGTAATCCAACTTTACCTGGCTATTAATAATCCCGACTACGTACGTATCTGCGCTGGATATCACCGGCACGCCACGCGCCTTGTAGGCGGAGCTGCATGTCCGTTATAGCCGAACAAAACCACAGCTAAAAGCGGCCCTGGGGACCAAATTGTTTGTCCATTATAAGCAAAATTCCGTTATATGCGAGTTCGCTATATCCGATCCTTTCTCTGCATGTTCTTAAAGGCACACGGCCGGGACCAGCGGACCTCGTCCGTTATACACGATATTCCGTTATAAGCGAGTCCACTATAACGGGATTTTACTGTATTATGTCACATAATAGCATAGCTTCACCAACATAAAGATCATGTAAGTATTTTCTTTGGCTGCCTAAGACTATTGCACAGTACCGTAGGTATATAGCACAACCTGCCTTTGACTTTCACTTTTCCGGCTTATCATAGATAGCCGCTGAATATCCGCAATAATACAAGTAAGGTGGACAGACATTGTCACATTGGAACTTACAAAGTGCCCGTGTGGGAGATCTCTGTGGACTTTATTGACACAGCTGCTGGGAGCGGACAATGGATGCACTTGGCTAGCTGTCAGTTGGTACCAGCCTCTGATTGCCCATTTTATAATTATAATTTATAATACATGCTAGATGCTAGCGGCTAAGTCAGTAAGCTATAACCCTTTGAATGGGACCGTGAGCCCCAGCTTTGATAAACTTTGACTATGATGTCACCGAAGCGCCCAGTGGCAGTGATGATTGCCGTTTAGCTGTGGCTCGGGGCTGAGACTTTGCCAGTAATAGTCACGATGCAGTAAAGCCTTGCTGTTTATTTACCTGAAATCCAGGGTGTTTCCCCTCCCATGGTGCATTGCTGTTTTGTCTGAACTCTTTGGCTGGGGTCCATTGTCTAAAAAGCGTTGCATTTTCGTAATGTGTACCTTTTTTTTTAACATATTATTAATTTTTTTTAATTTATATGCTATTCCCTCTAATTGTGCTTCACTCACCAAAGGGCGAGACGAAACTACAGTCGCCTGTTTTGGATACTTTGGTTAGACGATCATGTCTGTCTTTTCGAGGCCTGGATGAAAGAACAAAGCAAAGCTGTGAAATGAATGTATGATCTCTCGGAGTGGGGGCTTTTCCGTGGCCTCTCGGAGTGGGGGCTTTTCCGTGGCCTCTCGGGGTGGGGGCTTTTCTGTGGCCTCTTTCCAAGGTAAAGTCTGGCCACCTGCAGGTTTGGCTGAGATACCCACCCCGACAAGAGGCTCCACACGTAGCCCCCTTCCTTATCATGCTTTTATTAAGTCGCAGTGAATTACCCTTTGTGGTGAAAGGTCCTGTCATTCCTATTATGGAATGATTGCCAGGAAATGACGTCACCGTTTTGTCTCCATCGATGCATATTGCATATGTCAGGTGTGCGGCACACATAAAAATACACAGGCCGGTCTGTTTTTAAACGGAAATTCCTCACACATCGGTTCGTCTGTCTTGGTCATGGATGCATGAATTCAGCAATAAAAATATCCCCTTAAATGTTTACGATCTGAAGATTGGGCAAAGATACATTTGGCACTTAATCTGTGTTAAACACGAAATCTATATGCATCAGTTTGGAAGCTGCGGCGTTGTGTGGCTCAGCAGATTAGGACGCTGTGCCTGCAATCGGAAGGACGCTAGCTGAAATCCTGTGACTGGCAGAGTGATGTCACAGTCAGGCCCCTGACCTAGGCCTATATCCCCCAATTGCTCCAGAGACTGGCTCACCCTGCCTTCTCGATCGTACGTCACGTTGGATATTAGCGTCTGCCCGATAAATGTAGGTCTGATGTAGGTGAAGTGCTTCGTCCCCGCTGGCTGGTAACCATGGCGACGGTAAGCCCTTATACTCTGACCCTGACCTGGATGAGTCCCCACAGATCGAGGAATTCCGGAGGCTGCGATCTCACGTCAAAGGGGCGGAGCTTCTCGAGGGCAACGACGGAATGCTGGGGGATAACTTCCGACCCACGCAGCCCCTGAGCGACAGGGTGGTGCGGGCCGCTTTTCAGTAGGCCGCCCCCTCTGGACCTCCGGCACTATGCTCCATGGGTAAATATGGGACGTCTTTTTTTTTCCGACTGTTGCTGCGTCACTGGCATTGTTACAACAGGGGGAAGGGTACCCGCGTGCATTTAAAACCTTACGTGTTCAGTGTATTTTAAAGGAGAACATTATAGCTAAAATAGCTGTTTCTGTATTGAATGAAAATCATACGATTTTTAGGTTAAATCTAACACTGGATGGATCATGCAGTCATATGTCTGTTATACAAGGAAAATGTGGAATTGATGCTTCCTTTTTCTGTAAAAGCTGTATGTTTTGAGCAGAATTATGTTTCAAACTACATTTGACTTGATAGTAATTTTTTCCGATATTTCCCTATGACGGCATTTTATTCGCCGCTCAACTCACTTACGTCTCCACACGCCATGCTGCCGTGGCAGAATAATAATGCCGTGGGTCGTTCTGGAAGCCTCACTTTCGCGAAATAAGGGCAAGAACTCCCACAGGTATTCATCACCGCTGAGCAAAGTAACAGGGCCAATCTCCCGGCGAGGAAAAAAAAAAAAAACCCATTTCTCTTTAATCTAGGCCTTGTGTTTCATGTATCTTGTAGCCCTATCTATTTTAGTGGGCACAGGGGAGCACCTGAAGGCTATGAGCTAAATCGTCATTTTAAGAATAGAAGTAATTTGCTCTAAAACGAGGGCACAGGAATGGAGGGTGTTTTACACACTCTGTAGTAAACCAGAGGTGGGCAAATCTGGACCTTGAGGGAATGCTGAATTTCTATGCTTTCCTTCAGCCTCCGATCGAAATCACTGCTTGGACAGTAAGCTTGTGTATAATGAGGTGGGGGGGGGGGGGGGCATTGCGACTTAAAGACTGCCCCCCTACCCCTTCGGTATCTTGGCACCGCTGCTGCAGATTCTTGCTGGGTGAGCGAAATGGTCGGAGCTGATTGGTTGCTATTTCTGATCATTCGTGAACAAGGTGAACGCTTTTGTCCAGAGCAACACACAACTGAGGAGTCAGGGGTCAGCCAGCGTTTAGGGTTAGGGGCCATGCTGAAGGGCCCGCCAGTCGTATTAGCCATGTCATTCGAACCCATGACCTCCCAGACATGAGCTGAGAAGGCTGAGCTACTGAACTGCACACTGCCCCCTGTTGGCTGTGGAAAACTTGGCACATCCTACGCATAATCGCAGTTATGACAGGCCTTTAATCAGAACGTCTGAAACGCACATGCTCCCTCTGGTGTTGGGACATTGCAAATACAAGATTATAACTATAAGCCAGTTAACATGTAGAAGGACACTTTTTAGATTTTTCTTTCTCCAAGCTGCCTTAAGGGATTTTAACCAGCAAACAACAAATGTTCCCAGGAATTTGGGGAACATTCCTTACATGATGTTGGATAATAAAGAAAACTCTTTAAAAACATATTTAGATTAAAAAAATATATTGCATCAGCAGTCTTATGTAGTACTTGGAACCAGCTACTGATTCTCCACAAAAAGAAAAAAAAAGCAGATAACACAAGACATTAACAAGACATTAACCTAAATATATATATATATATATACACACACACACACACACACACACTCTCCATGTAAGATCTGCTCCGCTGTAAAATGCGACAGGAATGTTCTGTGTGACCCAAATAAAATGTTTCATTTGTGTGAGGGACATGTCAACCTACTAGGTGGCATGAGTGGGTTGGTCCTGACAGAACTGAACCCCACCAAGTCAGCGTCACAGACAGAGGTACAGCACGAAAAACTATAACACACTGCACACTATAAAATAAAACTATTGTACCTGACAGGTATGTGTTTGCGTGTTTAGATCGATCAGAGGAAAAGTGCTGTTGAGACTCAAATAGATTTTTCTTTCTTTTTGTTCATTTGGTCTTAGTAATGCAACGGGTCATTTAAAAACTGATAGAAAGTGTGATTTTGTACCCAAGTGGATTATTATGGGACTGGCCCATATGATTTTCTGCTGATCCATCCAGGCTATGATTTCAGCCCCTGCTATTGATGTCAGACCTTCAAAGAACGCTCTCCTAGCTCTGCCAAAACCTTAGGGGGATAGTAGAGGTTGGTCAGAAGGGAGAACTAGGTAGGACCCCTAGATACTACATGCTTTCTGTGCTATTCTGCACACTGAGGCACAGAGGGATGTGTGTGGCTTAGCAGGTTAGGATGCTGTAGCTGTGATCGGATGGCTGCTGGTTCGAGTCCCATGACTGAGAGTGATGTCACCATTGGGCCCCCGAGCAAGGCCCTCAGCCTGCAATTGGCCCAGACATGGTCTGGCCCTGTGTTCTCAATTGTATGTAGCTTTAGATAAAAGTGTCTGTGAAAACCCCCTATTTGGGGTGTGGTAGTAACACTTAGTGTTGAACCATTTAATCCTGTTCCTGCTGCCCCCCATGCATTCTAACCCACACTGATTTCAACCTGCCACATTCATTATTAGCCTATTAAGGACCATATAATCCTGACTAAGGTAGGGTTGGAATGAAAACACTTAAGGTAGGGTTGGAATGAAAACACTTAAGGTAGGGTTGGAATGAAAACACTCTGGCGTTGGGTGCCAGGAACAGGACTGAGAACCACTGATTTAATCTGTGCCAACCAGTTCAGAAAATGATTAAGGGTACAAAAACATTACAAAACATTATATACTAACATGGGACAGTATTAGGGGTCTTACTTATAGATTTAATAACTTAAATTGCACTTGATATGTTGACTTTTTTAATCGTCCACATTACAGGCCCACAAGAAGAAAAAGAATGATCCTTAACCTTACGTTACCTCCTGCCATTGTTTTCTCAGAAATTTCTGGAAGCATGCACATAAAGACAAAGCCCTGCCCAATTATCCACTGCTAAGCATGAGGCTGTTTATGCTTTCAGTGTTAAAATAATTGCAAATTCAGATACTAAAGTCGAAGGTTATCAACAGCTTCCAGTGTATTTGTGCTGCTTTTTGGGCAGGAAAGCCTGGGATTATTTGTAGCAATGAGATAAGAATACTAAGCAGACACAGATGCATCCTGGGTTGGGGGGACACCGGGGAGATAAGATTGGGCGTGCAGTCGCTAAGGCATCCAGCTCTCTGAGTTCCTCAGGATGTTGCTCTGCCAGAACCTGGACATGAACCTGAGTAATCGGGCCCACTTTCACTTTCAGTCTGAATTGTAGCCTGGATGATTTGTGATGGGGTGTAACTCCAGATATAAAATATAGGGATGGGATGAGGGTCCGCAGGTTAGGATGGGATCAGAAGGTTGCTGGTTCAAATCCCTTGGTCAGCAGAGTAATCTCACTGTTTGGCCCTTAAACCAAATGAGACTGGCTGTCCCTGCTTTCTCAATTGTATATTGCTTTGGATAAAAGTATCTTCTAAATATTTAAAATGTAATTGTACTATGACATGGAAGGATGCTGCACAACTTAAATAATTCAGATGAGTGCAGGTTTCCCCCACTTTACGAACGTCTGCTTTACGCTGCTTCATTCTTACGAGAGACCTAATTACCATCTGTTTTCGCTGGCTGAAAGAAATCCGAAGAGGAATTTTTGCTTTTATGAAAAAAGGAGGAAAGCAAGAATAGCATTTAGCATTTGTTTATCAGGGAGCCAATTATAGATATATAGTCACACGGTGTATAATGACGTTTCCATCAACGGGTGATCGCATATATGACAGTGGTCAAATAAGATTATAACGGAGCTGAAAAATTCCCTGAAAACTCACCTAGCCGCATCGTAGCCAACACAACGTCACAGCACAACGCATTACTCATGTGTTTGCTGGTGTAAACAAACCTACTTCGCTGCCAGTCGTATAAAAGTATAGCCTGTACAGTTATGTACAGTACATATTACTTGATAATAAACCTGTAACATATGTTAAATTTACAATTATCAACCGCAGGCACATGAGGTCACTTCAGGGACCGTCTGACTCTGCTCTCCAAATTGTATGTTGCTTTGGATAAAAGTGTCTGTTAAATATGAAAATCAGTGGGTTTCATAAGATTTCTGTTGTTTGTTTTCACACTGGATACAAAAAGCTAGTGAAGTTATGACGCTGGCAAGAGAAGCATCTTCCAGGAACATGGAAACAGAGCCTGGTCTCTCTCCAGCACATATAAAGAATGCTGGCCGGACCTCTTACTCTTCTGATGACAATGCTGACCTTTGAATTCAAAATAAGAGTGTCTTTCTGTCTCTCTTCTCCTGCAGAGTGAGGGGGAGAGGAACATCGGCACCACAGTGCCCCCTGTGGACACGGGGTGTACCTCCTCCGAACATGGTTCACAACAGCAACATCGTATTGCTCACAGTCGCCCATCCAGCTCTGCTCTTGGGGCTCTGCTCCCGTGACCTGCTGTTCTGAGACCTGCCAGTAGGGGTCACCAGATGCCTCAGCAGCCTTTTAGAACTGGAAAGCACTCCTACTGTAGGGAATCAGCACCAACGTAACTTAGCTAGACAGCAATAATGTAGACAGAGTGTCGCAGGCTAACAAGAAGCTAGGACCATAACACGGTGTGATTCGTTCTGTTGTTCTGTTGTTGCCTAAGGTTGTCTTGTAGTATCTGCTCAACATGTAAGTATTCTGTTGCAAAATATACATTTTAAGGGTAGCAACGAGTACCTGGTATGACGTATATAGATGGCTTTTTCCGCAAGATTTGAACTTAGATTGAATTTTGTAGAAGTATAGTTATATGACAACCCACTCACATGGCACTGTGAAGCACCAGGCATTTTGTTTGGGTGTATATATTCTACTAAACACGAGATTATCACAGGACTCACGCTGATGACCAGTCGCAAGGTGGGGCCCATTGAGTGAGGAATTCTTATTGGCTGGCTCATGCCCCTAATATTTACCTCACTTCCTCGGAATTAAGAACGGAGGCCTGGCCAATGGCAGAGACTCACAGAGGCTCCGTCTTTATGAACAGGAAGTGGGTGACAAAGAGTGCCATGTGACTTTCCTTGTGTGGTCTCACACAACGTCCCCCCACCAGGGAGAGGCTATGGAGTGAAATACTGGAAGTTCATTATGTTTACACAGGGCTGCCGTTTTCCACGCAGATGAGCAAACAGACATACTCATTCCTGAGTCGTGTTAGGAAACACAGGCATATACGGTGTGCAATAAAGGACAAACTGAACTGCTGTCTGTGCCTCTTATGTTTGTGTTTGATTTACACCCTGCATTATCTTGTTCCTTCTTACAGTATTAAAGTGCCAGGTCTCTCCAAACAGGCAGATCTCAGCTTTGTAGAATGTTCCAGTCAGGTGTCAGGTGGTCAGTTTGCCAGGTGGATAATATTGTTATAAGTCTTCCAAAAGCAGGGCCGGGATACAGTGGGCTGGGACACAGTGAGTTATGATGCAGTGGGCCAGGATGCAGTGAACCAGGGTGCAGTAGACTGGGATACAGTGAGTTAAGAAGCAGTGGGTTGGGATGCAGCGAGCTGGGACACTGGGTTGGGAGGCAGTGAGTTAGGACGCTGTGATTGGAACGCAGTGAAAATTATTATCACATTAACTTTAAAACTGAAAATCCTGCATGCAAATTTATGCTACAAACACCAGAGGGCAGCTTTTTTTTCAAGGATTTATGAATTTTGGTAAAATTTATGAAAAATACTTAACATTCTCAAGACTATAAGGGCATTTCTCAAAACAGTTCATACACATTAGAACACTATGGTTTAGCAGCAAAAGCCTGCAACTTACCCAAAACAATTAACTCACGTCTCAAAAGCAAATCATTCGACCAATGAATTAGTCAGTGCAACCAAAATGAAAAGTACAATCAGCATCGTTTTAACCATGAGAGTCAAAATGCTTAGATATACTGTCAGAATGTTAGTGTAAGTATGCTCCAGATTGCCATGATTCTGAATAGTAGTCGTTTCTCCCTTTCTCATTGTCACTGACTGATTATTTTTCTTTAGCTACTTATTCATATCAAAGACACTAGTTTCAACATTACAAGGCTCTACATTCAGTTCTTCGGCAGGAAAAAGCACTCACAAGCACATGTAACTTCTTCAGATCTCAAGACACAGTACAATTGCAAACAAAAAAGTCACACAGCACTGTATAACACAAAAACAGCAATACAAGAAAAACACAATCATCAACAATGCCAGATTACTGCAGTTTATGGAATATATTTTTTAATCATTTTGACAGCTTGATTACCTGTTTTGCATGTGGTGAATAACACGATAATCACATACATATATAGTTCTGGATGTAAAATTATTACTACGGGATCCTACATAGTCTCTTTTGGCCCACAAGACTAAAGCAACTGAAAATTATGCCAAATGATGACAATTGTACAAAACCATTTGCATATAAGGAGTAAAACATTTGGGAACTTGTGTGAAGCAATGAGAAATGATGTTCTGCTGTGCAGAAGTGACATTATAGTGTGGGGATTAAACTCATTGCTTTGCAAATGTTGGTTGTCATTTGAGAAATGCTCCAAAGCAATCGAGAAAAACTAATAGTTTAGTCATTCAACTGACACTCATCGCATGGCTATTAATAAGGACTGCCGATGTTTCCCTTCACGGCTGTTTGTGTTTATATGCACTGAAATAGATGAAATAGTGTGTAATTAAGGTAGTGCATATAATGGAAAATAAATTACTTGCCAATAGGAGAAATGGTGACTGTCTAGGTTTGGTGTATGAGGTGGTGGGGGCACATATTTATGCCATTGATGTGTAAGATAAGAGTGGGGAAACGTGCCAGCCTGTGATCACTGGGTGTGAGCTGGGGGGACTGAAGATGCCAGGAAGCAGCAAATTAGCATCAGTTGCTAACCCTGGTCAGTAGGACCAGCATAATTGCATGCTGCCTGCAGTGGCCCTGTGTTCCTTAATGTATTAGATCATAGGCGATTTTACTGGAGGGGTGCAATTGCACCCCCTACCAGTCAGATGAAATGCAATTAAAGGCAATCAGTCACCTGCTGCTTATGGCAGAATGAGAAGTGGCATTTTCGGGCATCATTAGTTAAATTACAAATATGATGAATAATTGTCAGAAGTTGCATATATATCAACACTGGTCAAAGGCGTCACATATAAATACCCATAATGCATTTGACAGCTCATTAAAAATAAACATGACAGATGAGCCAATAGGAGTGCTGCTATTTATCTCATTCTTTTAGGACTCTTTAGTCTAGTCAAGTGATAATTTATTTGTTTAGCACATTTAAAAATAGCCGCAGCTGACCAAAGTGCTGTACAATTTGACAAAATCAAAAACATATCAAATAGAAAACAGTCAGCTTGAAGAGACTAAAACATTACCTCAGTTGAAGATCAGACATGTTTCCTGCATATACAACACGGCTTCCGGAGGATTCCAAATTACCCTTCATTGACAGCCGACCCTGGTGATGGGGTGAGCAGGAGACATTTAACTAGTTTCCAAAACACATTTTGATTGTTTCTACTACCCATAATGGTCATCGAGTAATCAAATTTTTGCACCTTTCATCAAGCTTACCTACTTCTTGATCCCTATTACTAAAATGCGTTTCCTGTACATCTACTACAACTACTCTTTTCAGACACAAGGCAAAAAATGCGGCCTATAATTTCATCCTTAATTCTTTTGATGGCATATTTGTCCACCATCAACATAAACCAGAGTCAATAAAAGGATTGGGTATGACAGAAACCGTAGGACTCCACTAACACACAGATGATGGAAAGGGATCAACTGAGATTGCTGTCATTCCTTCTAATAACCAAAAGCTTATTTCCCACAAATTCCGAACGGTAGCTAAAGGACAATGATCACCAAACGTTTAATCATCGGTTCATCCATTGATTCATCACACACATTTATCGAGTGACATACAGGTGAGTCAGCAGGGTCAGCTAGTCCCTCCGGAGCAATTGGGGGTTAAGGGCCCTGCTCAGGGGCTTAATGGAGGTCACTCTGCTCATCATGGGACATGAACTGGTAACCTTCCGGTTAAGAGCAAAACCTAACTTGCTGAGCCATCTCCCCAGGAAAACATATGAAGACACAGTTTTGTATTCGTGTTTTATACCTGTAAGTAGAAAACTTATTCAGCTAGCTAGGATCTTTGTACTGCACACAATATTTATCTAGTGATTCATTCAGTTTTTGAAACATCTGGGGAGTATATAGATAGATAGATAGATAGATAGATAGATAGATAGATAGATAGATAGATAGATCGATCGATAGATCGATAGATAGATAGATACTTTATGACATTATATAAATGTAAAATGTCTCTATTTATTTGATGCTCAGCACATGTTCAGAGGATTGTTTGAACAATTCCCTCATGGCTGCTCTCTCGTAACGACAACAAGATTATCTTAACATCATTTTTCCGCATGCGGGGAGTTTAATGAGAAGCTCTTATTACCCCGACTTCCAACGGAGTGCTTAATTGGCCTGTCGCATTAATGGGACCTCACATGTTGTGCCAAATTAAGTGCCTCGTTCAGTCGATGCGGAGGCCCCGCCTCCCTAATCATCATTAGCGCTAAATTAGGAGGGAACTTGGGGGAGAACGGCAAAGGCGGCAATGGCCGCGAGTAAACTAACAGCACACAACAACAAAAACACATCCATTTCAGCTGTCCTATCCTTCACTCCAAAGACATTTATTGCTTTACTAATTTCAATTAAGATTCAAGGCTTTGGTCATGAGCAAAGTTCTCCAACACACACAGGGGTAGGTTATCACCCCTGTTATATACGGGAGGGGGGGGGCTTTATTGTTCCTGGTCCATCTCACCCCAGATATTTCAAAAGTTCAATCAATAGCTAGTGAGTAGAGTCAGGAGATCGTAGCTAGTTGGTTAGCAGAACATGCTGCTTCAGTGTCTCCTAAATAAGTGACTGTTTGTGGCAAATAGGGGGCCCAAACCTCAGGGGCCCCACACAAATGTGTGGCTTGAATAGAGGTAAATGGTTATTGCTGTATATACAGAACACTGCAAACACACACAACACACACTATACGCAAACTGTATATGATTCTCCTCCAGCTGTGGAAAAACTCAAACTCAGACATACACAAACACAGAATGTGACACAAAAAGTTACCCATTTATTAGTCAAATGTGCTGACACACATACAACAGATCAATAGTTAACGGTATATTAGTAAATTATGCCTTATTAACTTACACGAAAGCTGTTATTCTTTAAATGACTTAATGTCCTTCCAATGCCATACCTGTAGGGGGCGAACCAAGACAATCTAATGAAGAGGATGGCACCACAAGCCCATCACACACATTCCTTTCTTTCAGGCCTGCCAGTGCTTGGTGTCCTTGTTGGGGTAAAAAGGCTGATTACTGTTATCCTATCAGCATGATGCCTCAGCCCATGGATATAGTGCATATTTTGGGGCGATGCATGGCTCCGCATGTCAGGCCTTGTAATAGAAATGTTGCTGGGTTGAATCCCCTGGTCGGCTGAGTAGCCACATCTCTGTCGGGCTCTTGAGTGAGGTTCATAACCCTTCTAAAAATGCTCCAGGGCTGCCGGATGAATGTCTGACCCTAAGCTTCACTCTCACCTCTATGTGTGTATTTGTCTAAAAAAGGAGTGCATGATGGGATATGAGAAAACTAGCACATTCCAACGTATGTATATAAATGGCAAATAGTTGGCATCGCTTCGCTTCTGTATCAGAACTTACATTGGGCACTTCTGGAGGAAACTGCAAAAAACTTATGCTAAAAAGGGATCAGGGCTTGGATGGGACTCAGTAACAACTTGGCTCATCTAGATGTGTGGTTTTCAGTAACAGGAGACTTCGTGCCTGCTTTGTACGACATCGAGACAGTGTCTGTTCCCTCCTCTGGCAGGGATCCCGATTCTCATTCTTCTCTCATGCAGTTATTGTCATGTATACAAAAATCACTCCAGTTTCAGAGGTAAAAGCTTGGCTACTGGGCCCAAATGGATTTCAGTACAGTTCACAAAGGTGTATGGTTACTTTAGTCTGTCCTCTCGCGCTCATAACATGCGCCTATGTTCTGGAAAACTGATATGCTTCTCTGAAATGATTATGTCTATGATAGACACACTTCCCTGGTCTATAATCCACACAAACCGCCCCAGTCATCATGAATTGCTCTTTCTGT